ACAGGAAGGGCGGCGATAGCGCAACCGAGCTTGCCCATGGGCGGGATTCAGCGGTAGCGTCATTTGGTGAAGAGGCGAATACACCCGATCACCCACCATGAACTCCAGCTCGCGATGATACTACCGTCGTGGTGGCTTGGTAACGCGTACTATTGCGCTGGAAGGTCATAGCAAACCTCCTTAAGGAAGGCGTGCGATCCACGAAGAAGCCGTCCTGACCTGCTATACGAGCAGCGCCCGGCGGTGTGTGATTGTGCTTGGTGAGCGGCCCGGCCGGTAGATGACTTGAAGGCGTGGGCGGGCGCCGTGTGAAACAACATGTTGTAGCGATACTCCGCCCACGGGCTAATCAGACGGGCTTTCGCGGCGGTCCCCAAGCGAAGCAGATACATGCTTAATCACCTTATTGTGACCTCGGGTACGACCATCCAGTCTAAGGGTGGAACGCCCGTGCTCAAAAAGCGAGCTTTACCCGACCATCTTGAAAAGGTCGCATTACCTGCGTGGTGGTGAAATCGGATAACGTCGTTAACAATGGAGTGGGGAAGCCGTGTAGATGAACAATGCCGATCAAAAGAAGGCGCGGGTGACGCCATACCGAGTCTGGATGGTTTGAGGGCGATGAAGTCTTGCGCGATACTAGAGAAGTGGTGGCTTTGAGGATTCTGGACTTCCCATGAACCTTAGGAGGTTCGATTGATCAAATCCATGGAGATGTCATGCACACGGGATGGCACACGTCGAGTGGGCGATAGCAGAACCGGCAGGGTGAAGGTCGGCGTCTTGTTGCGCGTTAGGCACGTAATGCAAGCGTGGACAAAGTCCTAGACAAGCAACGTGATAAGCCTAGAATGTAGAAATATTCAGCATTAAGCGGACAAAGGGTCTTTTGGATCCTCTCTTGGCGGCGAAGCGCCGGCCAAGAGTGACCACCTGCTGGCTCAAATCGTCTTTGCTGCGGAACACAAAAAAATGCGCTTGCCGTGGAGGAGGAAAGCCGTCGAGCGATGGTCCATGGCACCCCAAAGGCGACATCCCTGGCTAACTTTCTTTGGAGGTGGCGACCTCTAGGAGTGGAAGATGCGTTGTGGCGGCCCGAATGTCATCGGCGGGCAGGAAGGAGGGGCGGATAGGGCATGTAGCCAGCGAACTTCGGCGGCGATGTTTGGTGTCGATAGCGGGAGACGGGCATCGGTAGTCGAAGTTAAAATTTGCCAGCGGTACTCCACCATGAAGTCAAACCGAATAGCTTTGTTGATCCACCGGTGATGGGGCCTGATTACGACCCTTTGGTCCAGAGGAACTTCAATTTTGTAGTGGTAGAGTGCTTGACGAGGCGGCGCCCCCAAAGATCTGTTTGCAAATGCCTTTACTGCTGCCATCTATGCCGATCAGCTCACGCTTCGTGCCCCGCCGGACTTGTGGTGGCGGAAAGCGTGGCTCGAGCAATGGTTGAAGAAGCCGAGGGGACCAGCCTTTGGTGAAGAATGGCGCCGAAGCGGCGCCAAAGCGCCGCGGTCGACGACAATGACTAACTGATCAAAGTTTGGCATCTGCCAACACGGGCGGAGGCGGGGCGCGCTTGAGTCTGCGCGAAGGCCTCGGTAGCCTCGATGTCGGTGAAGCGCCTCAACGCACTGTGGTAGTGGCGGCGCTAGGACGATGGTGCCAAAGTCCCGGATGACCAACCTCGGAAGCCGTACGCCTACCGGGGTGAGCATGGCTGCGGCCAAGTGGCGATAACGTCCACCTTGTCGTTGTCCATCGCGGCATTGTGGTGGCGGAGATAGCGTGGCGAGATAGGTGACCGAGCGCATCAAAGGTGCAGCTGGGTACTGCTTGAGGAAAGGCGTCATTAGGCGCCGCAAACTTGAAGAAGAAATTCTGGCGTCTTGTAGGTGCTCGGACAACGGCTTATTGTACGTAGATCAAAATGTCATCGAAGAAGGCGAGCAAAAACCTATGGAGGAAGGACCAAAGGACGCCGTTCATGAGCACTGGAATGTGGTGGTAGCGTCGGAGATGCGAAAGGGCATGATGAGGAACTTCGAAGTGGCCATGGTGTATGTCGGAATGCCCGTCTTCTCAATGTCCTCCGGTGCATTACGACGATGATGGCGGACCTCAAGTCCAACTTGGTGAAGAACTGGCGCCATGGAGCTCATCAATAGCTCGTCCACCGGGATTGGGAACTTGTCCTTGACGTCTTGTCATTCGGTGCCGTAATCGATCACGAAACACGGGACTTTGTCCGCCTTCTTGACGAAACAACATTGGCAGCAAAATGGGGAAGTCTTTGAAGCGGATGATGCCCTGCTCGGCATGGCGGCCTGCTGTCATCGAGCTTGTCCTTCGAAGGCGTTGTGGTAAGCGGTACAAGCGGTATTGCCACCGGTCTGCTGCACAGCAACAAGTGTATTCGGTGGTCATAGGGCGCACGGAGGAAGCCCGCAGACGCGTCGAAAATCAACACGTATTGCTGGAGGGAGGCGATCAAGCAAGGGCGGCTGGTGGTCCGGTGGAGGAAGCGGAGGAGGTGGCTCTAGGATGTCATCGTGAGAGAGCCCACGCCCTTCGAAGAGGGCGCGTTGATCGCCCTTGAATGACATGTGTAACACCCCAGGTGTTTGGCTTCCACATTTGCACTTGCATTTCATAAACATGAGCATCATTCATTCATTCATGAGATTAGATTGTTTGGAACATGCTTTTGAAACATTGCA